ATCAAAATATTTTTGTTTCCACCTGTGTGAAAGCAAATGGATGTTGTCCTGATCTCATGAGACCCAACAGCATGGTCTCTGTGCACACTTGTCATCAATGAACCTTTGGAGCTACTGGAACCTAGGAACACCTGTGGGAATTGCACTGGGTGCAGGAGGGAGATTTACTGTCTCCCCTTCCTGGAGGTGGGAGCCAGGAGAAGGGACTGGAGCAGCACAACTCCAGCATCTTCCCTCCCTCCTTCGAGTGGGGTTGCACACAGTCAGCAGCACAGCCCTGCCCACAACTCCACAGTGCTAAGAGAGACAGATTAACAACCCCCAGGATTTAGCTGTGCATGGGCTCCTCACATTTTAAGTCTCTCCAATAGGGGAGTCCCACTCTGCTCATCTCTCTGCATCTACCAGAGGAAAGAGCAAGTGATCCCCACTCTTCTCTTCTGCAGCTTTATGAGCCCTCGGTCCCCCAGGTAATCAGCTCTCACATGTGCCCTTTCTCTTCCTCTATGCTAAACAGGGCTTTAATTAAAGGGTTTGCTGTTTCATCCTGGATTGTTTTCAGGAAAAAAAAAAAAAAAATCACAGACACAATTGCAAGAAGCAGCTGTCACTCCACAGAAAGGTATGCAAGCAACAGAAGGGCTGACTTGAATAACAATATCCAAAGGATTTGAATAATGTGAAATTATTCAAAACGAACTTGCAATTGGAACTCATTTCCTTATAGAAATGAAATTCAGGGGAGGGGGAGGGGGTGCCTCTTCCCGTAAATCAAATAATATCAATGCTTTTTTTTAGTGGATTGTATCTGACAGTAGAAAAAAAATGCCATCTCTCTTATCCTGGCAAAAGCAGAGCCTGGGTTTTGTTGTCCCATATATAGGTTCTTTTGCCTGCTAGGCAGGAAGCCAATCCACACACAGAGCCAAGTTATTTATTTCATGACTGTACAGAGATGGGTGCTAGGTGGTAAATCCACAAAGCTCACACACCCTCAGTGTGCTAGCTACTTGCTTTTGTACTCTTCAAACAGGGAAAGAGCAACACTTCCCATATATGCAACAACCTAAAGCTGTAACCAGTGGCTTCCTCTGTTTCCATTTAGTGGTACACAAGTATTTTCCTATGCATCCTCTGTGGAGAAGGGGCTTATGTGAGTGGGGTGCTTCTACAGCCAGTGGGTGGATATTTCACTGCGCTGATGACTAAAGGTTAGCACAAACTTGAAGTAAAACTCTTCTGTGGCTCAATCAGCAGCTTGTTACAGTGTTATCTCCTTGCTTGATTGGATTTAGGGTGTCATCCCATTATTACTTTTGGGGTCTTGGCTCCTGGATTCTGGTCACAGTCTACAGAGGTAAAGTGTGTTATACATGGAACAGATTTGCTTGAAGCTCTTCCACAAGATTTTGCTGGCTTCTTAATCCCATACCCGAAGTTTCTGGAACTTTGTTAAACTCCATTTTGCCACTTTCTCAGGGGTATCACGTCCACATTAAATGGTCCAGTACTGCTACTAGATGTGGGATAAATGAGGAGAAATGATGGCAATTGGTCTTTTGGCACTGAAAACCAGAAGCTCAGAAACTGCTCAATTTTTATTATTCACAGTTTTCATTGAGTAGTCCTGGTTTAGTTTGGCAGCTGTTTTACTTAGATGGGGCCAGAATTATGTGAAATATTTTATCCTCATATCCTTTAAGAAATATTAGATTTAAAAAAAAAACCTATGCTGATCACAGCTCTTACAACTACATATTCCATGTCATGTGTGTTCATATTTAAAGACAAAAGTATTTCTACTCAAGATGCTGAACCTTGACTAACATATACACTTTATTTTTCTAAATGGCTATTGTATGTGTATATATTTTTTTAATCCCCCCCAAAAAAAATTAAAGACGACTGTTTAATGAGCTTTCCTTTGAAGAGATAATTCAGAGGGTTAAAGATGTACTTACAATTATTCAGTTATATACATGTGACTTCTTCGACACTGTATTTAACAGTAGGGGGTTATTTTATAATTTTAGTAACTTAATGTGAGAGAGAAAAAAATCTCTTTAAATTAATAATGTAATTACTGTTACTGTCCTGTTCCTGTAGTTACTCCTTGTTATTAGATTATAAAAATAGCTCTAAAAATTCAAATGTTTTGAAGTTACACCTTTATAAAACACATGCAATAGAAATGTCAAATACCATCAAAAGTTGGAAACTTTAAAAGCCTCTGTAAAGCCAGTTTTCGATGTTAACCTGAAGCACCAGGGAATATTTTAGGGATGATTTTTTTTTTAAGTTGATAAACATTGTCATTAATGATAATTTTGGAATATTGCATGCCTTTCATTAGAGTTATGACCTGGCTCCACAGAAGCCACTGGCAAAACTCCCACAAGCCTCAGTTGTGTTTGTGCTTTATTCCCCCAATTTGGCAATTTCTCACCAAAAGTGTTACTCGTAGTCTTTCAAGAAGAACTGGATGTAATCTAGATTTTTTTTAATATTTTGTTCAATATTTTCTTAATATTTTGGTTTTTTCTTAATATTTTGTTCATATTTTGTTACATTGACAAACTCGCATCTCTATTTCCTTTTATACACATTGCATAAAAGGAAATAGAGATGCAAGCTTGTCGATGTAAGGTAAATATGCAAGAGTTAGGGAAGATGAAGATGCATAGATTTAAATATTTTTCAGTTCTTTTAGCAACATTCTGTGATGATACAGTTCTTGTCCAGGAGCTGTTTGGCTTAAATATTAAACATACAGGTACTAAAAGCTCTACTCTAAAAGATATTGGAGAAGAGATCAAGAAGAATAAGAAATTTAAATAACTGTAAAAATGTCACAAAGGCAAGCCTCCTGACAAAGTATGAAATGACTCAAGATTATAAGACCAATCCGTTTCTCAAAAATAGTGCCAGGTAATTTGGAGACTGAGAGCACAATGCCTGTTTTTATGCTAAGTGTCATACAAAAGTAGCAAGGGAAGGCAAAGACATTCCTACTAACATCCTACAATGTGCACCCAGATGATTACTGCAAGCCCTTTGAACTGCCTGAATGAAACAGAACCACACTGCAAAGCCATCTCAGCAGACCAAAATACCACAAAGAACAAAACTCCCTCAAACATGCAAAAAAACCCCCAAACCAAGCCAACAACAAACCCTACACCAAAATAACTTCTCAAAAAAAACCCAAAACCAAACACACAAACAAACTTTCAAATCTCTTTTCTCCCTCAACCCATTTGGCAATAAAAGGCCATATAAGTACTGTCTTAACTTCAATAAACAAGGTTGATTACAATGGGTAAAGAGTAAATCATAGACATTTTCAGACAACTGATCTCATTTTAGATCACTGGTTCCTTTCTTTTTTCTTCTTCTCCAAGTGTTTGCTGCTGATATGCAAGCTGAGTTATGCAGCTTGGCTTGTTTGGGTTTTTTTAGGTTGGTTTTTTTTGGAGGGAGAGGTTCTTTTTTGGGGGTTGTTTTTTTGTTTGATTGGTTCATTGGATTTTGGTTTTTGGGGTTTGGTTTTGTTTTGTGTGTTTTTGTTTTTGTATGTTTGTGTGGGTTTTTAGCGGGGTTTTGTAGTTTCCTAGTTTTGTTTGGTTTTTAAATTTATTTATTTCAAAGATGCTTTGGGTATGGCAGTTAAAGCTGGATTCTTTTGGCCTTTCTCTGCAAATATCCTGAACCTGATTGCTCCTGTGGCATTGCTCCCTATTAATTCAGCTGTAGCACTTGAATTTCTATTGTGATGTATACTTAAAAAAAAACCCCAACTTCTTCTGTGTATGTATGTATTTTGTTGACAATATGTGGAAAACCAGCAGCTTAATGGTGCTGAAAAATGGGAATCAGAAGTTTATTCTTTGGACTAAAAAGAAGGAAAAAAAAAAGGATAAATGGTAAAATGGAAATAAATAATCATTTGTGTTTATGGGGTTTTGTTTAACTCTTCCCTTTTTTTTTTGTTTGTTTTGTTTTTGTTTTGGTTTTGGTTTTGTTTTTGTTTATTTTAAACCAACCACTTAAGCAGGGTCATGAGAGACAGAGTCCTCTGAGAGACAGCATTACACAAGCACAAGAGAAAAAGAAGGACCAAGCATTTCTGGAGATGTTAAGATGTTTTATTCTTTCAAGTTAATCTTGAAGGTTTAATTCTGATGCTGCATGAAGTGATTTAAAGGTCAGAACACTGAAAGCAAAAGCAACAATCCATATGCAGCTTTTTCCTCTCACTTGCAGTGAAAGTCTCACCTATGATTCACACAGGCTGGTGAGCACTTATGGAAAACCCCATGCCTCGCATGTGAACACCTCCTGAGGGAAAATTAGTCATTTCACACAGCACTAATGATAGCTTGCCAGTGTTAAATTAATGGCATCCTTGGGGAAAAAGGTAATAACATTTTTTCATATTAACCTAACTGGCTGCAGGACTCTGCTCTAGTTCTGTTCAAATTCATCAGCAAAGCCATTTTTTTTGTACAGTGCCTGGAGTTGGAAATTTTGATTCCCGGAGCCGAGAGGGCAAATGGCAGTTTCTGGTGTTCTGCTGGTTTCTGTAATTACCTGTGATCACAAACTATATTTATTCTCCTAAGATGTAGCTTAGATATAAAATCCAGTGATATTCCATAAAACTCAAAATAAATGTTTCCATCAACAAATCATTCACTTAGCCTTTTTAAATCAATCATTAATCTCCAGTATGAAATACACTACAAAACCTAAAGCTGAATTAGGAAAACTGAAACATGAAGCAGCATCTACAGGTAAGAAAAACACAGTTCTTCAGATAAAGACTTTGTATACTCGTTCATTCAATATGCCCTGCCTTATCAGCTACAGAGAATAACATTACTTTGCCTCAAAAGATTGAGTCCTATGAGAAGAAATTGAATTGAACAAAAAAGAAAAATCAGAAAATCAGAGTGTGGGCATCTTTTAGAAAACTTTGTTATACAGTATTATGCTTTGTATCATGTACACTCTTTGAAAGGAGTAGGAAAAATATTCCTGAGTTATTCTGTGCAATATGATGTCAAAATTCAATGGAAATGAAAGTACTAAAATATTCCTAGGTTTTCAGAATAGAGAAAGGACACATTTGTTCTTGCTTCCTCTGAAGCATCTCTGTGCTACAGCTCTTTAACACTGTGAACTAAATTTTGACATTACTAATAAACTTTCATCATAATGCGTTGTAGTCTGTCATTTATAACATTCTGGAATTGTTGCATCATATGATATATGAAACAAACAGCAATGCTACCTGCCAGACAAGGGAAGTGAAGATGAATTTTAAATAATTACATTCTGCTTGTTTGTCTCCTGAGGGCAGATCCTCTGGGCCACATCCTGATTCTTCTCTCTTTTCTTTTGAGACTTCTTTCAGACGTTGCTTATGTGAAGGTGAAATTAGAGGCCTCAGCAGTCAGTACTTCTTTCAGTAGTTGCTGTAATTGAACTAAGATGAGCAATGCTTGGTCCCCACTTGAAAGCTGAGGGGAAATTTCATTTTCTGTTGGTGAATTGCAACACCACTGTCCAGGCTGCAATCTGATGATAAGAGTGTCATGATGGTAGGAGTGTCAACTCTGGAGAGCAACATCAACTGTGAGAACAGAAATTAGACTAGAATACTATTGCAAACTAACTCTGGAGGGTGTATTTAGAAATTTAATTCTCATATTAAGCTAATTCTCTCCTAAAACACATTGCATTTTTCTTTGCAAGTCAGCACAAGTCACTTCACATCCTATTACCCATGAGAACTTCAGAAAACTCCATTTAAAATTCATGGAACACTATTATCTAATGATTCATTTCATTAATAAGTCATGTTCCTGGTTTCTAGGCCACAAATGCTCCAGACCCTGCAAGCCTACCCATTTGTACATAAGAACATTTTAATTACCTTGTTTTTTTGGCAGATGTGGAAGGTAAGGTCAGTCTATGGATGACAACAGTTCCAGAGGAACCTTTAAACCCATACAAAGAGAATCCACATGTACTGATGATAGAGGATTGCTCCTGCTGCTATCCAGAGGAAAGCAACCTCTGTTCTAATCATCTCACTTTTTAAATATATGATAAGAAAGCTATCAAAAGAAATTTGACAGCTATTACTATGAGAAAATGGGAGCTGATAAGTATTTAAAGCACGACAAAAAAAGAAGGCTGGAGTCTAAAGACAAGCTGGACAAAACCTGAACCACAAACTCTCAAAATACCTCTCAGGTATGTGCTTCCAAAAGCAGAGCTCTTAAATGTAACAGGAACTGGGTATTAATTACAACTGTTCTGACTAAACTTCCATGTAAGAATTTGATAGATCATGGTCATTGCCCGTACTTAATAGTTTCAGCAAAAAAACTCCAAGTGCTTAACAGTGTCTCCTCCTGCAGACTCTCTCAGGAGGATTCCATAAAACAAACTGTTCTTCAGACCCCCTCCACAGGGAGTTCTGCAGGCAGCAGGAGTGACTCCTGACTGTAAAACCTGTTGAGGTTTGCAAACACTTCCCCCCCTGCTCAGGCCAAGCTAAGGACATTGCTTTAGTGGTGGATGTTTAAATGAAGAAGTCAGACTAAGTCACATGTTTAAAATCTCAATTAACACTGAAACAGGGCTTACTGGAACATCTCCCATTTATAATGGCCTTTTTACATCAAAGGTAGCTCTGCTCCCTCTGCCAGGAAGCACAACATTCAGCCTAAGTTTTTTAAAAAATAGAGGAACAGAAAGCAAAGTTCAGTCTCACCACCATTGTGAAGCAATCTCATATTTGAAATCCCACTGAGAGGTGGGTGCGGAATTGCTCCCCCACCCCCCCACTTATTGCAACCTGAATCTCTTCTGAGCCCACCTGGGGACTGCTGCAGCGTTTTTTTATGTATCTCCTGAGCCCCAGTTTGCCAAACTGCCAGAAGAACGGAGGGATCCAGTCGTGCCACCCAACAGAAGTTCAGATGAGGAGCACAAAGGTGGTGTGTCAAACACCTGTTTCATCACTGTACTCATTTTAAAGAGGTGTTGAGGTCTGTTTGAGGCTTTATCCACTGAAGCTTGAGATCTTAGACATTGATTGAATTGAGTTGATTGAACTGAGTGCTGTAAGTTTCTTGAGTGGATGAAATTTAGATTTCCATCGGTGTTGAACTGAGCTCCAGGACATCGTATTTGGTCAGGAGTTAGATATGCTCTGCAGACTCCTCCTGTCCCATTTCACACAAGTTTCTGCAGAAGATTATCTAACTCAGTAAGTCAGTTCTTGCTCGAGGAAAAGCAGTTGTAACATTTATGTTGAGAAAATAACCTGAATAAAAAGATTTACATGGCAAATGCATCTGAATGGCCTGGAAACAGCATGAGGAGTATTCAGCCTCATCTTACATGTTTAATTGAAGCATCTCACACTCCTTTGATCCCCTATAGTAACTCAAAAGTGAGTTAAGACCAAGGAATTACTGTATTTCTAAACAAATCATTTTGAAATAGACAGTCTCATAACCAGAGGAAAGTCATTAGGTTGAAAAGCCATGCTGAGTTGTAAAGTGCATTATATATGCCTTGATGTATTACCAGAAAAATACTTATTAAAGCAAAGTATGGTAGAGTATTCAATAAACTCTACATCCATAAAATTTGCATTTTAGTATTTAATGTTTAGAGACTTTTTCAAATATATTTCTTTAAAGGTTTTAATCTTAAGAAATGAAATAACCATACAAAAAAACCAAAAACAATTGTAACTGTATTTTTTAAATGCAACACAAGGTTTGTTAGGTTTCCCCACTCCCCCAAAGGAAATAGAAAGTATTGGTTTCTAGTACTACTCCACTGAAACTGGTGCAGTGTTTAACAGAAGAATCGTATTATTTATTGATTTTTTCATTTAGTTAGGAAATTTATTTAAAAGCCAAGTGATTTAGGAAAATTAAGGTAAAAAGAGAATAACAAAAAAATTCTGCTTTCTATAGTTTGTATATCAAATATATTCTTCTAATTAATAAATCAGAAGAGTCCCAACACAAGGTTACCTTATCCGAAGCTGTTAAAATACTGACAGAAAACTTTGCATTGTCATCTGCTGGAAAGAACAAAATGTCTTTAATTCTCCTCCCACCACTGGGAGATGGCCTCCTATTAGTTGGAAAGTAACACTAAAAGTTACACATTTCAGGTGTGCATTTCTCTTAAAATAAGTAGCAATAACAGCATCATGCACAAGTGTAATGCTTTTCCTAAACAAAGGAAGTATTGCCCTTCACGTTGGAAGAAACTGTTGGCTGTTACAATTCCCTTGAAATGCCAAGGACCATTTGGGGCTTTTATATGGTTTTAAATGACAGTTTAGAAACCAAATGTTGTGAAAAACACAAACCAGTGCTGGTTTGGTTTTGGAATTCCAGATTTTTTAAAAACCTATTTCTAATTCTTAATGAAAGACCTAAACTGTTATTTTGTTAGAAACAATTTTGTGTTTTTTTGATTGGTTGGTTGGTTTTGTTTGTTTGTTTCTTTGTTGTTTGTTTTGTTTTGTTTCTTTTTTACTGTTTTTATTTGGTTGTTTTGTGGTTTTTTTGGGGGTGGGGTTTTTTCTGTTTTTAGTTTTTTTTTTTTTTTGTTGAAGGGTTTATCAGATCTGACTAAATTAATCTGAAGCTCACTTACTTATGTGGAGTTTACAAATTCAGTTGCAGCACTGGATGATCCTTCAGATCCTTCACATCAGGCTAAAGTGCAGCAGGGTTGAGTTTTGTGAGGAAGGTCTAAAAATGAAAGTACAGTTTTTAGTTTCTTTGTAACATATCCGCTCAGCAGAGACCGTGATATCAACACAGGACACTTAGACCTTCAGAACACCCATAGTGCCTGGTAGCAGTGCCCACTGCTTGACACAGTACAAGGAATCTTGGGTGAATTTAGCTCTGTACTTTTTGAGTACTCTTACATGTAGTAAAGAATATGAAAAAATAAAATTACTTTTTTAAAAATATTCTTCCTATGAAAATGTCATAACCTTGTGATTATATTCTTTATTTTGTCAATAAGAAAGATACATACTTAAATGTACCAGCTGCTGTAGCATTCATTGCCCCTGTATAAGTTGCAAGATAAATATTTATATTTCCAAACATATATTTTGACATACAATGAATTAAAGAACTGTTAGAAATCCCAATTAGAGTTTAAATCTTGAGTGATCTTTAAATAGTGATTACATTTATTTTCCTTTTTTCCTTATAAGAACCCCCACGATTATGTGGCCAACAAAGCTAGTGAGGAAACTACATAAGAGAATCTGAATGGTAATTAAGAAATGTTCAGTTATAAAAAAAAATTAACTTCAATAAGCAAAATTATTACGGCCTGTCTGTGTAGAATCTGAAACTCCCCTTTTACCCCCAGCATCAGGGGTGCACACAGAGCTATCTCTACACCAGCAGCAAAGAGATTGCTTATTCCTCTTAATCCCCTAGAACTGGTGACAGGAGCATCAGCACAGAGGCATCTCTATTTTACAAGTCTTCACTTCCACCTGAAATTTTCAGAGCACTTAATTTTTGCTAATTTAGACACTTTTCCCTGACTCACTTTGCCCTTTGGTCTGAAGTGGGGTGTCTAAACGTGGCTATAATTTAGAGTGTTTTATCTCCCTGTATTTAAGTTGTATTATGACCTATCAAAAAAATAGAATAAATATACAGAACAGTTAAAAGAGGCTGGGAGAGGAGGCAAAATGAAAAAAAAAAAAAAAAAAAGAGGCACTTGGCCTGGGACACCTCTCTGGTGAAGGCTGATGAAAAGAAAGCCTCAAATACCTCAGCTTTTTCTGTGCTCTCGACTTTATCTGTGTCCATTGCCACTAAACCACTTCCCACCTCCTCTTATTCAGCAATGACCATGTTTTTCTTGTTGAGCTAAGAAAATTAGCTTTCACCTCTCTACATTGGTTGTACAGAAAGTAAAAATTAATTCCATACAACTAGGGGATACAGCTTGTGGGCCACAGTTGCAAAAAAAAAAAACACCCACACTTATAGTTCATTTAGACTGGAGAGTCTTCAAGTCAGTAGATGCATTAAAACAAAAAGTGTATTTATCAATAAGTAGGAGGGAAATAAATAAACCTTTACTCTTTCTATAACGAGTGAATAGAAATTTTACAGAACACCAGAGTTATAGAAAAAGGAATGAAATGAAAGGAAACAAGTTAATATAAGATGTATCCAAATTCTAGCCAAGCCCAGGAGAGAATATGTAATTATTTTCAGATTGTGTAGCTGGCGTGGAAAATTTCAAATGTAATTGTTTATCTATTAGTTATTTATAGGGTCAGGGAACTGCAACTTCATCTGGTTTGGGAAGAAAATCTACCTTCATTATCAGATGTTTCTTCTTGTGAAAATTTTCTAGCACCATGCATTTTTATATTCATCATATTTGCATTGATGTGTTGAGCTGTAAGAGGGAAAGAGAATAATGAAAATTTTTAATGCATTTTGTCCCATATATTGAATGCAAAATATTTTATTGTGCTTCAAGAAAATAACTTATTACACACATTAATTTCAGTAGAGTCTGTCTTGATGCAAAACCCACGTAAATTTATTATAAATTAAAATAATAAGAAAACTTATTTAAAGTTAAAAGCTTAAAGTTGTTCCTGAAAGAACAATGATTATTAGTGTCAAACGTATGATTTCCATCACAAGATTAAATCTATGCGGAAGACCTGAAAACATATTTTAGCTGCCAGTAAATAATAAATCAATCAAAACACAATACAAATGAGTGATCAAGCTGTAAAAAAATCAAAAACATCAGAACATGCATGGTACTTTGTCTAACTCATATTGTTTTAAAAAATTAATTTCTTAAATGGAAGAGCTGACCATTAATTTTATTTACTTTTGCTGGAACTGGAGAGGTTTGACTATTAGAATCCTTTGTTAAATAACAACCTTGAGATGGGGCAGAACATTTTAATGTTCCTTAATATATTTGCTTTACAGAAACACCATAACAGGATCTGAAATAATCTGTATATATATTAAAAAAAAGATATTCTTAGGCAAACATAAACCTAATTGTCCAAGAATGTATTTTAAGAGGCTAAAAGACACACTAAAATCTCCTGAAGATTGTGAAGGTTTATCATGAAGTGTGAGAAAGAATTGATTTTCCTTTTTGTAACTGTATAACACAGAAGGTCAGTCATTTAATTTGTTACCATAAAGTCAATAAGGCCCAGTTGTGAACCAAGAGCAGTACTGGAAAATACACAAACAGCTGCAGGGGAATGAGACAGCAGGGGAGAAAATTTCTGGTGAAAAGAGTTTACTTTTAATGCAATTGATAGCTTCATTGTTTTATTTTATAGGAGTTTTTGATAAAGGTTCATGGTGGTATTACTGGTAGGTTCAGAAGGTTCCATGAAGCCCTTGCTATTATTACTGTATTATTAGTTCATGCAAAAAGAACAGAAATATTGACATTTGAATATTGAAACTTGCTAGGCACTGTACTGAGCACAGTCTTGATTAAACACTTAATTATGAATTCCACTTCCTAATAAAGTCAGATTTTAGATCAATAGATCTTCAGTATGCAGTTGCTGAAGTAAAGGAGGAGAGAGGAATCAGGAAGAGGTTAGTCCCCTTAAGACCCTGGTGAATAAAAGGAAGAATTCCTGGGAAAAATCAGTCAAAATGAGAAAAGTAAGCTGCACAAATTTTGTGTGCTTTTGTTATATTAAAATGTAATAAATAAAATATAAGTTGTTTAAAAAAAATATATGTTAATACGATCTCATAGTCAAAAGCATTCACATAAAAAAAAAAGTTAATTTTAAAAAATTCTCCTTGTTCTTTACTTGATCACGTAAAATCTGAAACAATTTGAGTCATTTATTTCAAATAGTCATCAACAGTCTACACTCTTAAATAGTCTCGAAATTCTTGTAGATGGAATATTTGAAGCTCACCTCAGAAATCTGAGGTCATGTCACAATTTCACTGTTAATGAACTACAGTCTGAAGTCACTGACAGCGACTAAGCTGTCATGGTATTCTTGAAACTATCTTCCTCATGCTGACTTTCACAGATTTTTGAGAGCAGTCTTTTTCTATGTAAAGTCAAGAAAAGTCACATTCACCCGATAATTCCAATAATCAAAGCTGGCCCTTCTTATGTTGGACACCCAAATTGGAGGCAAACAAAATGTGTTGCAAGTTTTGAAAAAAATCCTTTCCTTAATGACACGTGCTTCACTTTCTTCCTCTGTCAAAGACATACACTACCCAGCTCAAAGACATTATGAAACTTCATGTCATAAATAAGTATATGCTAGTATATATTTACTATAAATGTAAATTTTACATATAGATGTGCTTTTTGTGTTTGTTTGTGTCTTCATTTGTATGCCTTGAAGTATTCAGCCCAAACTTCCTAATGGCCTACAAAGTGTAGCTGGGTAAGCAAACTCTCCCTTAACATCAGAAAATATTAAAAATAATTGTAAAAAACTCCATTCTGTGTTTAGGGCTTATCAATTTTATCAGCAAGTTAGAATGAGATCATGCATGTTATAGTATAATATGTCTAGGGGAAGTCTAATCATATGAATCTGGTTTTTGCTTGTAGTAGAATACTAATGAGTGTTATGAAATCCAGGTTTTGAACCTTCTGTTGACTTCTGTCATTGAGTGTCCCTACTGAAAATTATCAGTGGGATCAGAAAGGGTGCTACCAAAAATCAGCCAGGGCTCACATGGTCTCAAAATACCTTTTAATGAAGAACAAAATAAGCTTTATATTTTCATGCGTGAGTTAATAATCAATGCTATCACAGGTTGTTTTACAATACCATAAAGACAGAAGAAGATTAGAATTGAATGGTAACTTTTTTCAAAAACCCAATCCCTGCTAGAGGCATCTGAAAAGCTGCTAAACTGATAAGGAATAACCTTCTCAACAGTCTCCAAGGATGCAGAGATTGCTAAAGAGCAGTGGCTCTTTTCCTCAAGGGAAGAAATATCCACAGACTTGCCCTAATAACACAAATTATCTAAGTAGTAGATCTCCTTTAAAACCAGGGGGTAAAAACCCAAGAGTGCTTTGTATTGTTTATACAATAGCTGTGGAAAGACCAATGAAAAATTCAATAGATAGAAAATTAATGATTAGTAGCATTTAGTGCTAGTGATACCCACTGCTTGTCTGGGCAACAAAAAATCATAATTATTTGACCAATTAATTTTATAACACTGTCTTCTCTTTCTCTTTTTTCTCTTAGACCTTTTTTCTTTGGAGTCAAAGAGCAGAGAATACCGGATAGTTTGTTAGCACAGATGAAATCAGCTAAAAAAACACCAATTATGAGAGGTTCCTCATTGCTCCTCGGACATGAGAGATTAACTGCAAGGTCCAGAGGTCACACACAATGCCTTCCAAATGTGTTATGGCTTTAATCCTCTCCCCCAGTGTCCCAAGGAGAAGGGTGAGAGATGTATAATGATATAGCAAGGGACTGGCTTGTTGCTCAGTTTAAGTTTGAAAGTGTGTGATTGAATTCACAGTGTCACAGGCTAGGTCAGCAATAATTAGCAGTGTTTTAATGGAGCTCACCACCAAATGAGAAGAAATGGTCCTTGGAGCATCTGCCTTATGGAGGCACAAAGGGCATATGCTCTGGTTATGCCTTTGGTGGTAGGTCACATGTACTGCAGACAGCAGAGACATTTTTGTTTAGGTAAAACAAGATATGAAGATATTAACTGCCATATAACGAGAAAATTCTATTTTCCTCCTTTATATTTAATTAGAGTAATTTAAAACCTGAACTATAAGAGCTGTTGAATAGGTTATCCTACTAAAATAAATTTA